TTCACTAATAATATACATCACCAAATCAGTTGCAATCTATATTCCTTACAGAACGGACAAATACATTGTAAGATGAGGCACCAGGTGGTGCCTGTAAGCAAACAATAAAACTATATCAGCGACACCAAAATCAACAGTTAATCACATTAAACTTAATATCATTATTCTCACATCATTTTCAGATTAATGTCAAAACTATACTACATCTATAGCATTGGCCTCCAAGCAGTTTATTACATGTATACAAGTTTGAATATACAATTATGTCCGGGGGAATATAACAAAATTGCAACAAACTGACTTAATGATATAGTATATCACGTGAAGCGTTTTAACCTTATTTTATGTCATAACTTTCGTTTTCATAAGTTGTCCTTCATTGTACTTTTATACCATATATTTTATAATGTATTATCAAATGTCCAGCTTTACTATCGTAATTGCAGTTCTGTGGTGTGTGAATGTGGTAGTCATGTGTTTTGTTTGCCTGACGATGGCTTTAATAGCCGAAACATGTAGCCAAGCTAATTATAGCCTTGACCTGTATACTGTTGTGACGGACTCTAATAAAGAAATTGTATAATTACATGTTACCGTATTTTGAAGGTTACCCCACCACCTTTCTTTTTTTCATTAAACCAGTGAACGATGCATAGGTTAGCTGCCAACTGACCTTGTTTGGTCAGCTTGTGGTGCAATAAATGCTCGTTCAGAAATTGCACCAAGAAAAATGTAAAGGTATATCAAACATTGGTACTAACGAGTACAATGTGTTTATATTCACAGCACCACATTAAATAATCCAAATATTCCATCTTCCGACAAAAACTACTACAGTCACAATTCTAACGCTTCTACTACAGCATTTTATTTACTATGTCACGCTACCAACATTGTAAACAAAATCACTACCACCTTTGAAATATAGAAGTCTCGCTGAACAGTCAAAATGAGGTTAAAACATATTTTGTTTACATTATTTTTCAAAAGAAAAAATAATTCTGGGAGCCATCTACGAAACAAAATTCGCTAGTACTGGTAACATGTAAAACTGAAATGCATGTACCGATATTCCCTTCAATTTTTACTAAGAATAAGCTTCCCCTAATATCGTCACATTTTTAAATAATGGAAAATATTCGTTTCTGGAGAATTCTGGGAATCTTCTGCAGTGAAACTTCAAATTTAAGTACTTATGTGGCACATTTCCCTAAGTTCCCTCCTCAAAGCCAGCACTACTGTAAAATCAATAAATACATAACATCACAAACATGGAAGGACCAGTAATATTATACTAATCTTTACCCTCATATGTTTTCTGTTAAGCTTTAGATGGAATCTTGAGAAACCGATTTAGGAAGGCACCACTATTACTGCAGTCTGGCCACTTCGGCGGAGTACCTGAATTACTTAATTTTAATTAAGGTGGCAAAGTTTTATGATCATTTACAATTAGCGGCAGTACTGGTGGCCGACGTCCAGCTGCTGGATCTCGAACGATTTTTCTTCGACGACTGACAGCCTGTGAATGTAGAGGTAGCGTATTACTCCACCATCGTTGGACACTCCATGCCGCCGCTATACCCAAAATTGCAGGAATTAACAAAAACACTGACATAATCCTATTGTCATCTCCTACAACTTTGTCCCATGGGTTCATTTTGACAGTCCACTGGCATCACTTCACATCCACGTTGCTCCACGAATTAAATAAACAAAAGAATCACACACGTACACACACACACACACACAGACACACATGCAGCCACATGAACGTCAACAGTACCAACCTCAGCAACGTTAACAAAATGATGGAGTTGTCTGATGATCCCTACTGAATCTAAGCCGTGCCATAGCACAAGCAGTTAGTCGCTGCCTTTCCACCGCGGCGGCCCGGGTTCGATCCTGGATCTGATTACGTGGGATTTGTGATGGACAAATTGGCGCTGGGACAGGTTTTCTCAGACTACTTCAGTTTCCCCTGCCAATCTTCATTCCACTAATTGCTCCACAATCACCCTCACTGGTACAATAGGCCAGAAGTGGCCGCAGTATGAGGGACTTACTCCCACCCCACTAGCAATAAAAAAAAAGCTGGGCAACTCACACTTGATATGTATGCCAAGAAATCAAAAAGGCTCTTTATTTGATCAAATCCTTACGTGACTCAGCCTACCTGTATTAGGAAATTTTACCAAGCTTGAATCTATATTGAAATATGGTATTATTTGTGTGTGGGGTGGGGACTTAAAGCTGATAAGGACAATGAAGCTGTATTTCAAGTTCAGAAAAAATGTCTAAGAGTGATTGAAGGTGTTAATAATAGATTATCCTGTAAAAATATGTTTGGTGAATTTAAGATTTTAACTGTTACCTAGTTGGTTGAGGGACTATGCTACAAGCTGGAAGGTTGCTGGTTCAAATCCTGACGAGGTCACTGGATTTTTTCAGTTGACCTAATCCTTCCAGCCGCACTAGGCCGTGGGGTTTACTCAGCAGAAATGAGTACCAGAAATTAATTAAATAATTTTTCTGGGGAGTAAAGTGAGGCCGGTGTGTAAGGCTGACAACCTTACCGCCATCTTTGAGCCGATTGTCTAGATAGTGTGGGACCCTCAACGTCTCACACCCCTATGGGCCTTCGCGGCCTGGTACAGGGATAGCTTTACTTTTTTACTTTTATCTCATTATATATGTTTGAGATTTTGTGTTTTATAATAAATAATAAGATCAATACAACTCAGTATTCTGACTTTCACAGTTACAATACAATACTTAAACATAATTTGTATTAGTGTTAGAAACAGAAATGAATTTATAATGCAGAACAACTCTGTGAAGAACTGGGAAACCATTTTTGCAGTATGAATAAAAATTAAAAGAAAAAAACTGAAAATAGCATATAACTCTTTGTATAAAAATTTTCAAATCTTCCGTTATAATACGCGACACTATGTACTTTCCTGATACAAACAAAGTTAATTCCATCCATTTATCATAAAAATTGTGTTAGATACAGCATTTTTAAACACAATGCTTAAAACTGTTTTAGCGCCCTAACAGGAACGGACATTTAAAGGCAGAGTAGCAATGGGCATTTAAACGCGCCCAAGCAGCGGGCATTTAAATAAACTCCGGCCAGCTCAAGCTTACCACCATTTCAGAAGTCCGGTGTTTAAAGGTTAAAAATTGCAGTTGAATTTCAATCAGACACAACAAAACACAAGAGAAGTCATCTTTACATTAAATTACAATTAAGTCACATTCTGATAAATAGTAAGACATTTACCTACAGAGTGAAATGTATGCTGTAGTTGAAAAGATCTCAGTGATTTCTTGAAATACTATATTTTCGTCCAATATACCAATCTGAACTGGCAATTTAATTTAATACCTGTGTTCATTACAGTTTTCTTACATACAATGATGAACATGAGTAATGTTACAGCCTACAGCAGAAATGCGATGGTGGGGGGAGAATATATTATTTATTGCCATATTTCCTTATTAGTCCATCATTCCAAAATTCAACCTACAGATGATGAGAAAGCTTTCAAGAATTACGGAAAATTACTAGGCACTGCCAGGGGCTGGGGCCCTCTGAACTCTCGGTGAATGCTGGGCTTCGATGTAGCAATAGCATACGATGGGGTACCCAAAAGAAACCGAACTAATTTTTTTGTGCGCAGAGCTTTTGTAGCACCACGTTTTGCCGCTATGAGCGCATAGAGCTAACATTCCTGAGTCGATAAGCCGACTACCGTTGCTTCAGAAAGTAAGNCTTTTTTTTGTTTCCTCGAATGAAAAGAGACATGAAAGGAAAGCGTTTTGCTGATGTTGCTGAGGTGAAGGAAAAAATGACGGAGGCACTGTCAAGCATCTCAAAAGATGAATTTAGACAATGTTTTGAAAAATGGAATAAAAGACTAGACAAGTGTATTAGTGTAAGTGGAGAGTACTTTGAAGGGGATTGAAGGTTTGTGTTTAAAATTTGTATAAATAAGTTAAAAAAAAATTTGGTTTCTTTTGGGTACCCCCTCGTATAATCAGTCTGGAGTAAGAAGTATCTTAATTCAAAGCACCTATCAATCACAAAGATCATGTGATATATTGTACACATCACACTTCCCACGGTCGTCAGCATATTCAATTACTTTCAGACCAAAACTTGCTATGTCATATGAATATTTAGAACTGTTGAAATACAAAATATACCTTCGAAAAAGAACTGGAAGTACAGTACCAGAAACACCCAAATGCAAGGACACTTTAACAAACTACATGTTAGCTCAACTATCTGAACACTGCTGATAAATCTCAGGTTGGCAGCAGGAGAGCCCTGTGAATGCAGGGCTGTTCAACTAAATCTCTATGACTGAAAGTCTGATCAGACATCATGAATTAGTGACTTTGGTGAAGGTATTTTTTGTTGACATGACCTTCAATGTGAAGAGTACCACTTCCTGGGATGTGACACTGTGTGATCCATAGAAGTTTCATAGGAACATACTACATGGCGCAAAGAGCCAGCAAAGTGCTCTATTTGCTGCTTTGACAAATAAGATGGAGGTAGTTAGATCCTCCCAAACGTCAGTAAATCTTTACCAAACTATGTGACATCATGTCTCACAAGATAGCAATTTCACAGTCATAGCCATAAGAACCTCAAACGTGAAAAATGTATGAAACGTTCAGGGATTTATTTCTTTTTCATTTGACAACAAAAAATAGGGNTCTATGACTGAAAGTCTGATCAGACATCACGAATTAGTGACTTTGGTGAAGGTATTTTTTGTTGACATGACCTTCAATGTGAAGAGTACCACTTCCTGGGATGTGACACTGTGTGATCCATAGAAGTTTCATAGGAACATACTACATGGCGCAAAGAGCCAGCAAAGTGCTCTATTTGCTGCTTTGACAAATAAGATGGAGGTAGTTAGATCCTCCCAAATGTCAGTAAATCTTTACCAAACTATGTGACATCATGTCTCACAAGATAGCAATTTCACAGTCATAGCCATAAGAACCTCAAACGTGAAAAATGTATGAAACGTTCAGGGATTTATTTCTTTTTCATTTGACAACAAAAAATAGGGTGCATGACACATGTGACAATGTGAACTGAGTGAGTATGGCATATGGGTTGACATTTACAAAAGAAGTTCACACAGTGACTCATATATCTGGTATTGCCACTAAAAAAGAATTACTGTGACAAGTGTCCATTCTTCTATCAGTCAGTATATATGTGCCCCACAAACTTCTATGTGATGAGTCTTGCAAAGCGTCAACACAAAAGACTGGCAACAGGCTATGACAGACTTCAGATATATCAGTAATGGAAGCATACAAGGTAGATCCAATGTTCACGGAACCAAGTCAAGTATCCCGTTGACAATATCCATGGTTTGGTCATCAATCAAAACTATATCAAAGTGTTTCAAAAACTCTTCCAATCTGTCCTCCACCTGCAAGAAAATGCATCCACACATTACATGACATGGATAGTGTAAGTGTTAAGGATCTGATGGCAGTGACTATGAAAGATGAAATGATCTGTGAAGATCTACGATGTGATGACATGTAGTACAGTAAAAGTTTATCAACATTTCAGAGGAATGTGCTGCTACCATCTTTAGGGTCAAAGAGAAAGTCGAGCAAGCAGCAAGCCATACTTGCTAGCAGCTGCCCTGAAGANGAGTATGGCATATAAGTTGATGGGTCGACATTTACAAAAGAAGTTCACACAGTGACTCATATATCCGGTATTGCAACTAAAAAGAATTACTGTAACAAGTGTCCATTCTTCTATCAGTCAGTATATATGTGCCCCACAAACTTCTATGTGATGAGTCTTGCAAAGTGTCAACACAAAAGACTGGCAACAGGCTATGACAGACTTCAGATATATCAGTAATGGAAGCATACAAGGTAGATCCAATGTTTACGGAACCAAGTCAAGTATCCCGTTGACAATATCCATGGTTTGGTCATCAATCAAAACTATATCAAAGTGTTTCAAAAACTCTTCCAATCTGTCCTCCACCTGCAAGAAAATGCATCCACACATTACATGACATGGATAGTGTAAGTGTTAAGGATCTGATGGCAGTGACTATGAAAGATGAAATGATCTGTGAAGATCTACGATGTGATGACATGTAGTACAGTAAAAGTTTATCAACATTTCAGAGGAATGTGCTGCTACCATCTTTAGGGTCAAAGAGAAAGTCGAGCAAGCAGCAAGCCATACTTGCTAGCAGCTGCCCTGAAGACAGAGGCAGCACATTCCTCCAAAATACAGGTAAATATCTATGTGACGATGTGGCATCACATCCCGAAAGGTAGTTCTCTACACAGATACTGTGACTAACTCTCTAGTAACATTATGTCATGAAGAAAAAATAATCAGTATCCACAGATATTTCTCAGCCTTCCTTACGCGATCATACAGGAAGCCAATCTTCAGAACAGTCCCAGCATTCTGGACACCATCAGCCATACCAGCATCCCCCACTTCATCACCCAACAGCAGGACATTGTTCCGACCCGCCAGAATCTTTAACAAATAATGATATTTGATGAGCAGCCATTCAGTTGACACAATTAATGTGTAGAGAACTAAACTTGCATATATCTGCACAGTATGTGATTCTTGAGATAGTTTATGACCTTACTTCAATTACAGTGGTTATATCATATTTTATGGAAAGATGATTATGAACAATGATTAGGTAATGATTCAGTCCATCTGAAGGTTCTGTACCAAACTGCCCCTAACTTGTCAAGTGTTGCTTATAGAATGTTCGGGATTATCTGTACCAGAAAGGTAACCAGAAGCTGCAAAACATCAAAACACTCCAACTTAAAGATACTCAGTAAAATGTTAAGGAACATTGTCAGTGAACAGCATGTGTCAAAACAGTTAGGTAATGAAACATTAAAGAATGTCACAGGATACCCTGTACAAAAACTTACAAACAAATGTGCCTAACTTGTTCACTAAACTGTCTGATGTGCTCACTTGAAAGTAGTCAGACTTCTCAATAGCATGTTCATTCTTGTTGAATGAGTGGATGATGTCACCCTGGAATCCATTCACTTGGAGTCCATCGAACCGCAGGTAGTTGGAGATGATGTGGACATTGGAGAAAAGTACATTGTGGTACCTGAGGACAGCCGAGACAGAGTCCCCCAGACCTGCTGAGAATACCAGAACAGGAACTCCTGCTGCCTGCAGTGACTGTAACATTTTGTCAGTACCTTCTCTGGAAACAAAAAGAAAATAAGCCATCTTGGACATTAATACTGTGAACAGTTCTGTGACCACATTTCTGTTTAAAAATGTGTCCAGACAGGGATGACAAAGGGTCTGTACTGTGGAGAAACCTGTTTTTGATCAGGTTTATGGTTAGACCAGAACTCTAAAGGCATCACTCGCCTGAGAGAGAAAGAATTTCATGCCAAATCATAAAATGCTAACTGCACGTGACAGACTTCTACAGTACTATCCTTTTTAAATGGCAGAATGCTTCAGCCATGTGTTTCTGCTATACATCAGGCATGGCCACTACATGGTATCATTCTGGACAGGGTAAGGCAGTGTATTATACCATACTAGACCTCACCTTTGCTAGAACCACCACACAAGTATGCTGGCATATCTGCCACTACTTTCTACTTCTAACCTTCATCTGAGGGCAGTTTCAGGTAACCAGATATTGTTTCTAAGATCACAGCCTTGCTACAGTTCAAGTACGAGCTCTAAAAACCCAGAAGGGACATGATGATGGTAAGGTAGGTGGCAGCGGATCGAGTGAGTGGCACTGTTATTTCTCTCTCCCACACCTCACCAAGCAGAGTTTCAAAGGCCACATTAATACAGTATTCTGTTCTTTTGGTACAGGGGGAAGTTAGGATTGATGGAATCTGTTGCTATTACAATCCCCCTTGGACTACTGCATCATCCAGTTCTCTCTTTGCCAGTGTACAATCCATTTGCGTATGTATATGTATATACGCTCACACATACTCACAGAAAATCACACTACACTCTTTAACATCACATGCTACAAGCTCCTCATTATGCAGTTTTCTCCGACCTCCTACACTTTCATCCCCCTTCAGTCCAAACATTCTCCTCGGCACCCTGTTCTCCAATACCCCCAGTCTATGTTCCTCTTTGTCAGATACCAAGCTTCACACCCAGACAAAATTAGTTTTGTGTATTTTAATTTCTATGCTTTATACAGCAGATATAAAGAAAAAATGTGCTTAATTCAATGGTAGCATGCATTACATGATTTCAATCTGCCCTGAATCTCCTCATGAATCTAACTTTGATTCAGTACTGCCATTCCCAAGTATCTGACCTTTGCCTAACTTTCAAAGGCTCTATTAGTTAGCGTTATGTTGATTTTCCCCTGCAGTCTGGTGATGTGATGTAACCATACATTCACTTTATGCTGTGTTTACTTCTAGACCAACCTCCTTACTAATGTCAACTGGAGCTTCTGCGTCTTTCTTATGGTATTTATATTATCTTCCAGCACATTTACATTATCAGCATGGACCAGAAGCTGATGTGTCCCATTTAATTATTGTCTCAGCTGCTTCTCTTGCACCTTTTTAATAGCATATTATAAAGCCAAGTTGAAAAGCTATGGCTATAAAGCATCTCCTTGTTTTAGACCATTCTGGATAGGAAAAGTATCAGACAAATGTTTACCTATATGGACTTTACTATACATTTCATTTAAACATTTTAATCAGCCTAACTAGTTTCCTGGGTACCCCAAACTCAATGAGAATACTGTACAACATTCCCCTCCTAACTGAATCACTGACTTTCTGGAAGTATTTGAATATCTGATTGTAGCCCATATTTCCATTTTTCCACCAGTATCTGACAAATGCAAAAAAAATCTGGTTGGTAGCTGATCTATTACATCAAAAACAGCATTGATGTTCCACAGTAATTTCATCTACATACTAACTTAATGTTGACAGGATAATGTATAAAATTTTGCATGAAGTTGGTCACAGTGATATCCCACACCAATTACTACAGTCAGTTTTATCACCCTTCTTATACATTGTACAATAATAGACCCCTTGTACTGGTAAGAAAATTCTTCCTTATTCCAAAGAGAATTAGTGAGTTCATTGATGTTAGAACATTACGCTTCACCTCCTGCTTGAATTAGCTCTGCTGGAATTCCATCAATACCTGGAGTTTCATATTTTCTCAGCTTTGAAATTGCAATTTCAACCTCAAAAGGACCAGGCTGAAGTACCAATGGCTCAGCTGTACGTATTTCTATCTGCCTAACATCACTAAACTTATGTATGGTCAACAGCTTAGAGAATTCTTCCACTTATTCAAAATTTGTGGGAATGTGCAGGCAGATCACCATTCTTGTCCTTTACTAAGGGAGTTCTAGGCTGGTAACCCTTCTTACATTCATTTATTCCTTGATATATTCCTCTAATGTTCTTCTTCTTAATGTGTGTTGCAAGTTCACTAATTCTGTGTTTCATATATTCCCTCTTTTTGTTCCTGAAATGCCTGTTAGCTTCATGCCTTACAGTGTTCAGATTATCCTCATTTATTTTGATTGGATCTACAACCACTGAAATTTGGCTTCTTTCCATTCGTCTGAGAGTTCTGAACATCCTTCATCAAACCATGGTTTCTTCAATTCATACCTTTGACTCTCTTTGACTGAAATTTTGATATTCTGTCTTAAAGTTTCCCATGCTCCACTTATATCCACAGAATCAGGGTCAGAAAGTTCCAAACTGCAAGCAAAATTAAATAGTATGATTTATAATTATTAATTTTGAGCCTTTTCTCACTTCTAGAAATTGCATCATTTGTCCAAGCTTGATGTAATGTGCACTCAGTATTCAGCAAATAATCTTCCGTTGTCGATTAAGAAAGCAGGCAAATACTTTCTTAATTCGTAAATGCTGCTGTAAGAGTAACACACGTCAGCCATGAATGCGTAAAGTTTCACTATTTTGTTGGCCATAAGGTGTATTATCCTTCATTCCTTCACATTCTAACTGGCTTCAAGAAAACACCAATGAATTTGCCCATCTCTACCCTACAACTGATTCAACTGCAAGGGCATTAAATATTGGAGTCTAGAGCATCGTATGCTTTCTTCATATTCAAAGGGTCCCAGGTTCATATATCAACCTGGAGAGAGGCAATCTTGACTGAGGGCTTTAATGATTTCCATCACTGCCACAAGAGAAGTGCCATGACAGATCCTTTCACAATCTTTCCAAATCATTGCTCACTAATCATCCTAACATTTGGTGTTACAGTCTGAGGTATCTACAGCATCAATAAATAATAAATAATCTGGAGCACTTACTTGGTCTAGACAGATAGCATACAGTTAGGAGAATTTATACAAAGGTACCTGAGTTCTGCACCCTCTCTCCTGATAACCTCCTCCAGCTCCTCTGTTTGGAAGTCGAAGCCACGAAGCAGCTTTTGTGCCTGCTGGTACCAATCTACCATGTGCTTAGCTTTCTCTTCCCGGCTGATATTTGGGTCAATTTCGATAGGCCGGTAGTGTTGGAACAGTGCTGCATCCTGTTCCTTGTAGCCACTCGGTAGTTGCCTGCACTGGCTGAAGATACCTGAAACATTATAAGACAATGGGTATTGTCATGTTACTTAAAAACAGAGCACAGATCACAATCCATTCCTCCTCCACTCCTGGGAGTATCCCCACAGTACATAATGGAGTACAATAAAAATTCTGTGACTGCTTTACTGCAACCATCCCAAAGTATTCAACCTTTCTGAGTAGTGGACTTGCTCTCAATTAACCCTTTGGCGCGGTCATTTAAATTCCGCGGCCGCGTCTCCNTAAGCACCACACCATGAACACATATGGGGCAATGGAGGTATAGCTTCACCATTCTTGACCTTGGCACTGGATGATGGTGAATGGTCAGCTTTATGAACTGGCTGCTTTACCTCTGCGGAAAGAGCTTCTGCTGCCCATCAGACAGGAGGCTGGGTGGGACCCAAAGCTGGTCTGGATGTCCCTGCCAGAAATCAAACTCTGGCCAACCAGCCTCTAGCCTTATGCTATACCAACTGAGCTATTCTGGCCCCATGTAGTAGTCATGGTCTCTTATAATTTCAGTTTCTCACATAGCCAGGTCTTTACCCTACCAGCCCACTTTAATAAAAAAAAAGTTAAACAAATATGGGAAGACAAACAGAAGAAAAACTGTACTAAAATTGCTAATTGCATATTTTCATACATAGCTGTCATCTAGTATAGTGAATTTTGTGAAACAGGCCACCTGCAATAACTGGTTGAATGTTTACAGAAACAGTGAAATCATATTAATTTACTCATTAACTTTTATCATCTGCAAAAAGGGGATTTTAAATCTCCTGGTATACCTAGACCCTGACTGGCATGACAGACATGTTCTTGAGAAATTTCACATAAGGTGAAATCATGTTAATAGGACATAAATTTCCCTTAATGAATAATGTTTTGCAATGGGGAGATCATGGAGAAACGAATTAAACTGGAAAACTAATCACATTAGTCAAAAACCAGCCCCGCTCTAAGAATTGTGTTAAACCACATTCATGTTGGCAGAACTTGTATTAGTTGGGGGTGTGCTGTGGGCTAGGGCCAGATCTTAACTCAGAGGTAACAGTAATGAAAAAATGGAACATTTAGCTGCTGGACTATGCACCATGCTGCAATGTGATACACAGCCATAAAGATTATAGAGAACTTGTTGAAGATGCTGTTGATTCTTAGTATTTACTGACACTGTCTAACTGCAGAGGTTACACAGTGCTGGATAAGACAGAAACATGATTTTTAATGGTAAGTGGGTAAACATTTCGATCACAATTTAAAGGGATTATCATAATGATGGAGAGGAAATCCTCTTAAACCCTCAGCCATTTAAGTTGTCATCTGATCAAAATGAAACTGGGTACTTCTTTAACAGGAGTCTGGAGAACTGTAATCATACCATCCTTCTTGATTTGAAGATGTGAAATCAACAGAACAAGCTTGAGACAAAAGTTCAGTTGTCAGTTCTGTGAACTTTTTAGAATCACAACAAGCAGTGAAGTTCTTGACCAGTCAAATAACTACCAAATGAAGGAGACCGAGCATGATCAAAATTGTCCTTTCATTACACTCTGATTGCTGATCGCTGACTGCTGTCACAGTAATACTTTTTTTATTTACCCACCCCTTACTGGCACAACTGTGAGGCAACAACTTGGCTAATGATCTGTCTACGTACAGAAACTAGACAACGTTGGTTTCCCATTCACTCTGATTGCTGATCGCTGACTGCTGTCACAGTAATACTTTTTTTATTTACCCACCCCTTACTGGCACAACTCTGAGGCAACAACTTGGCTAACGATCTGTCTACGTACAGAAACTAGACAACGTTGGTTTCCCATTCACGTGCTGCTTCGTGAGGGTCCTGTCAAAGTCTGAGATCATCTGAAAAAAGGAGAAGACCATGTTAGTTTGACTAAAAAGTTCTGCCATCTCATTTACGAATAGAACAGATTATGTGATCTGTGATTCTCAAATTTTTAAGAAATGGAAAACGTTTTAAAATAATTATGTCTACAACACACAGTCTACATTATCACTATACCATTAAACATAAATGCTGATAAATAATAATATGAGTTTAATAAAGTTAGAGTGATGCTTTGCTATAAACTGGTGCGAAAGAAACATCACTAAAACAATCAGTTAGGTTCCATTTAAGTGCAGGGTTTAAATTTGATTTCTCTGTAAATTATTCAATAACACTTTTAGCATTGAGACTATACAGCAGGCATGTCAAACTCAACTTGTACAGAGGGCCACCTCAGCCCTATAAATAATAGTCCAGGGCCGCACTTCAAAATAGAAATATACATTAGAATTTGATACAAGGAAATTTAATTCCATTTATTATTTAGGAATAATTTCAATATAATTACCTAAAGTGGAACACTATTTTGCCCACAAATCAAACATGTAATTTTACCTTCTATTTCACAACAGGAATAAGCAATTTCCCATTTTTCTTGAAATACACAGTGCTCACTTTCAATAGTTCTTTTTTTGCTATTGGTTTTTTTTTAAAGTGACATTGCCCTTTAAAAGTTACTGTACATATACAAGAAAACTCGTAGTTGATAATTTAATGTTTAATTATAACCTTTATACGTTCATCACAATGTAACATCAGCACCTGTTGCTGTGTGAAAATTAACTGAATGACAATGTACAAGAGACTACCAGACTAGTAGGAAGGTGTATCTTGTCTCAATGGTCATAACAGTGAAAGTTTGCTAGCAGCCCATTAGACATTGGCTGGGGGTTGCACACTAGTTTTTAAAGTAGAAATCCCTTGCACTTGTCTGTCAGTTGCCATCCTCCTTGCATTCTTACTATGCCTCAAAAGTGATTCTTGGAAATATGTGAGGTGGTGAGACTGTGCGGATTTTAGTGCATTAACCTTCTGGAATAACAATAGTTTGTCCTTCACGAACTTTACAAACCATTAGTTGGATAAACCCTTCTGCAATTCTCAGAATCACTTTTCCTGCAGCCTGCTAATTTATGTCTGTGTGAGACTTCTTGTCTTCTGGGCTGTTGGAAAATTGCCTTTACAAAAAATATTTCTACTAAAATTTTAATATTGATTTTAATATCAATTAGCTCTAAAAGTTGAAGGGCCGCACTTTGTGGCTATGGGGGCCGCATGTTTGACATGGCTGCTATACAGCATCACATTGCAGGAACACAAACAGGGAACTGAAGAGGATTTGGAAGGAAGTGGTGGTGGCTTGAACGAGGTACCATCCTGACATTTCCCTGGAGAGACTTAAGAAAATCATGAAAGGCCTCAGACAAGAGAGCTGGTAACCTGGCCAATATCTGAACCAAGAACCTCCCCAATTCAAGTCTAGACTGATTTCTTAACTACTCTGAGGGAACAGAAAGAAGTCTCATGGAATGACCCCTCCATGCTGCCCTCCAGCTGCCACCCTTCCTCCTTCACATTTCCCAGATGTCTAGCCATTCTACCGACAGGAATGCTGGGTGATACAGCTGAGAGGAATATACAGCAGCATATAACAACAGGCAGCAACGGCTATGCCTTGGGCTTCATTGGTGCCAGCTCCCATGAGGCTTCTTTCCATGGCCACATAGGCTTCTTTCCATGGCCACATTATACTTCAGTTAAGTTGTCCTGCTCTGCCAACCTGCAGTTTTTCCTTGCCTCCACGGACCAGACTGTTGACCATGTCCTCCACACGAGACCTATCGCGAATCCGCACCGAATCCGACAGTAATACCTGAACCTGCAATCCACAGTACATTAAGTCAGCAAAATGCCATAGTGCCTTGTCCTGAATTCCCAAAATTTCATGAATACAAGGCAATATTGAGCAGACAGGAAATGATGTACATTAATTTTAAGACACTATGTTAATACACCCTTTGACGAACTGATGAAAACACAAAAACTTCAATAGGGACAGTTTGTCTTGTGGCCAAGATTTGAACCAGAGTCCTCAATACAAGGAAATTTAAAGTTACATGTAAATGTGAAAAAAGAGTTATAAAAATCACAAATTTAGAACATGACAATATGCGAATCTGAATTGTGTGATTAAATTAAATAAAATGAACTACATAAATTTGGAGACTATACCACAAAAACCTTCAACTAAGCAGATTCAGGCCTACATAAATTAAAGTTTAAGTCAACTAAAATTAACCACAAGGTCAGACTTGCATAAAAAGGTTGACATTGCAACTATATGACCCTATACTCACTATGTAATTCTGCTTTACAGAAAACACTGGACTGATACTTACATCTTCAAGTTTCACAACTTTCCCCATAGTTAGCTCCTTCATTTTGTTTATAAGTTCCTCACGAAATGCCTGAAGACTGAAAATCAAGAATAGGCTATTAGTAATTCATTCTATACATCAGTAAACATGATACAGCCATAAATATTGTATTTTAGCACCATATTGTGCATGAGAAATCTCTGTTTTATTCCATCACCAGAATAGGAAATACAAACACACTACATATTCATCATTTTTTACAACATGTTTTGGATCATTTAGCCATCACCAGGCATTTGACTACATTTACCTGTATTTGTCTGTTAGTATTCCTATATTGGCCAGTGTTTACATATTGGAATACTGGTTTTTTAGTAATATGTAATGCCATTATATACAAACAGGCATATCACCTTTAAGAATAAATATTAATTGTTAAAATGTAAAGCATTAAAATTAAAATTTAATGTATATAAAATGTTTTCTTACATTTTCTCTGGATGTAGTAGTACATACTACATCAACACAAGACCAGGAAGAACACCAAGAAATACATCCAAAGAAGAGACAAATTTACACACTACTACTACATCCAGACAAAACATAAGAAAGCCTTTTCTACATGTCCAATTTTAATTTTAATTATTTACATTTTAACAATTAATATATAATCATTAAGGTGACACACCTTTTTGTATATAATGGCATTACATATTACCAAAAAAAAAAGCATTCCAGTATGTAAACACTGGCCAATGTAGGAATACTAGCAGACAAATACAGGTGAATGTAAAAAGTCAAATACCTAATGATGGCTTATGAGCCAAAAAGTTTGTAAGAAGCGATGGAAGTATTGTGTCCACACTTCCTATTGTGGTGATGGAACAAAATTATGAAGATACAGCTATAAAATCTGTAATCATTAACAGTTGTACTTCTACTGCCTGAACATGCAAGAAGCAGAACACTCGATAACATGCATTAACATAACATGCATAACATCCATTAAATGAGATGGTATCAGGAATAAAATTTCGAACAAACTGCCAAATGCGTGTTAATATAAAATATTTCGTCTGTCCAAGTTTTTGTATATTATCATCAGTTGTTATGTCACTTCCGACATTGTTCAGAATGGTGTCAAATACCACAGGTATGACACAAGGACCTACTGCTACCTACATGCACCTTCTGTCTGTCTGATACTACACAACTTACCACTCATAGAAACCGATAGTAACTACACGTTTGTTCTCTATTTTAAGTATGCGACGTTTCGAAATATTACCATCCAAAATGCTAATTTGGCAGTTGCACAGATGAAAAGTTATGCGGTGTTTACATTAGCGTGGTGCTAAATCAGAATAACACCATGCGGTTGATTCAGCTTTATCAAAGTGAACCGTGTTTGTACGCCACAAATTCCGACGACTACAGAAATCGTGAATTGCGAACTGCAGCAATCAAACGTACTGTTGCTGCATTATCAGTTGAAGGCTTCGGTCCAATTGCTTCAAAATTTAAGAATTTAAGGAATTCTTATTCGAAAGAATTGAGGAAGATACAAGATAGTCAGAAATCTTCAGGGTTGTTTGATACAGGTTCATCCGAGTGTTCTTGATGGACCAATCGCTTCTCACTTAGCAATCCAGTTTTTAACCCACCACCTTCGTTTTCTTCGGAACTTTCCAAAATTTTAATTTTTTTCAGCAAGCAACAGCTCAATTTTTATTGCTTCAACAACAGTACCGCACATCTTCGTACAGCGACTGAAATGATCACGTGGAAACTCGACCCCAGGTGTGTAATACGTTTCAAACATTCCAGTGTTTACATTGCAAAATGACTTACATGCGTGTAGGAAAGGCGTGCGAATACGCCACCCCGAAGCGTGGTCACGGCTTTAAAAAACGGCACATTCTCACGCCTCAGGATTCCGCCGTAGTACCACGCTAATGTATTAATGTATTAGTGTGGAGGGCGTGGAGTGTCTAGCCCGGTCTAGCCAGCTAGCCAATAAGCATCGATCTCATCTCGGTTCTGGCATGCCTCGTATCGTTCGTATACTTCGTATCCGTTACTTCCGTTCTTCCCTCTCCGTCCTGCATCGAGAAAATGGCGACATGTAGAGTTCGTGTTATTGTGAGTAGTTTTCATTTTAGTGCTCCCCCGGTGTTCTGTAGAGTAAATAATTATGGGGAATCATGTTTGATATTTCATATAACCTAATACATGAGTTATGTCCTTTAAGTTTGCTGCAGCAGAAAAGTAATAAATATATTGAAGCTGATTTGTTTTGTATTTACTGGATTTGTCGAATGTTGTGTATTCATGTTTCAGGCAAGGGCTTTCTCAACTTCGTCTGTTCAGCAGCAGTTAGTAAAAGTAAGTTTATGTAAGTGTGGGGAGAGCATGTATTGACGGCCTGCAAAATTGTTAACCTAACTGATCGACCAAACACTGAGTGCTCGAGCCATGCACCCCGCCTCTTCGTTGAACGCACTCTTGAGCTTACCTTGGGACGATAACTTATTTTTTTAAGTCGCAATATTATTATTAATTCGTTTTATAATTGAGAAATACTTGTGAATTAACAAGTTATATTTGTGTGGGTACTTCAAATCGAATTGCACCAAGACGTTATGTCGGACATAAAGTAAGAAGCTTTAAATATCTGTTTAAAATTTTCATTTTAGCACATAGAAGCACTTAGATATTATAGCATATTCATTGCACATTTATTATATTTTTAGCCTCCTATTCAAGTGTTTGGACTTGAAGGACGATATGCTACTGCACTCTTTTCTGCTGCCAGCAAGCAGAAACAGCTAGATGCTGTAGAGAAAGAACTTGTTAAATTTAAGGTATGTTCTGTACTCTCACATTTATTGTTACCAAGAAAATTTGCGTGTCATAGTTCTTGTTGAACTTAATAGTTTGGTGAATGATTATTACTGTTTGTATTGGAATCAGATCCTGTGAACCTGTATTTGTTTATAAGCTTTCTGTCATAACTACAGAAATTACCCTTATGCAACAGTATCTAAAACTTAAATAATTGTAATATAAAATTTTGTAGAAAGTATTATTTTAGAAGATAAAAATTTACAGTTCCATGATTAACTTCATTGGGTTGATAACATAAAATTGAACCCACATTCATGGTTAGGATGGTCATGGTAGTAACTAAATATAATTTAGTTTAAAGACATAGATGCATGATCCTATTGTAAAGTTATGCCTTTAAGTATCATAGAGTGAGATCTGAGTTTATAAAAACATTCATACATATAGCAGGTTTTCTGAGAACTTATACAAAATCTTACTTCGAAAACTTGAAGGGAAGAGCCTACTTAAGATATCAAGATGGAGGTGATTAGAGTAGATCAGAAACTAAGATGTGAGGGTGTGGACATTTAAGCAGGATCATGTCAACTGATAGGGTCTTCCAAACGTGGTAATGAACCTTTCAGTTTGATTGGGGGGGGGGCATTTCTTGAGCAGCTGAGTGACTGTTGTCTGTTGGACAATGCACCATGGAGGTGTCTCATTATAAATTTAGAATTACATTAATCCTAGAATTAAATTTGTAGAAGTAAGAACAATTCTTTTATGTAATGTTTCTTTGCTGGTTCATCATTTTCACAACTTATGTTATACAGAGTACGCTAAAAACAGATGTGAAGCTGCGTGAATTTATTGAGAATCCCACATTGAAGCGCCAGCTGAAGGTTGAAGGCTTGAAACAAGTGGCTTCTAAATTCCCGTTGTCTTCTCAGTCTTCAAATCTTCTGGGCAAGTATATGTCTAAATTGCCTCAAGGTTTTCCTAAGCTTATTTGCTCAGACAGGCCGGCTCCATAATAGTGCATATTGCCTCATGTTTGCGAGGTATCAGGTTCACATCATGGTCAGGGACCCCCATCCCTCTAGACAAGTACCACAATAGGTTTAAATTTGACTGAAGTGTCTGATTATATGTGAATGCATACAAGATGTAATAAGAGTTATGCTTATATGTGAATGAATCTGCTTTGAGACATAACATTTCCTCAGTATTAGATGTAATGATTAACTACCATGGGCTTGTCCATTACAGTAGACCATGAATGCTGTCTACACCCTGTGCTGAAACCTTGCTCACAGTTATCAGGTCTCACATTGGCAGCAATTGAAATAATGTAGCATAATGATTTATGAAGTTTGGTTAATTGATGAAATATTCATTACAAGGTTAATTTAAATAACTGAAGTTCTCACACTCTGTAGTACTCCTGGCTGAGAATGGTCGCCTTAAGAGTTTGGATGGAATCATCAGTTCATTTCAGACCATAATGGCAGCCCATCGTGGTGAGGTCCCATGCGAAGTAACTACCGCTAAGGTTTGTGACTTCACAGTATGTAGTTAGCACTCTAGAAAACCCCATACACTTGTTAACATTATGTATGGTAAATATGAGTGCAAAATTATATTTTGTGATTACCAATGTGGTTGAGGTTATTTTCTACAATCACAATTTCACCTCACACACAAACACTAGTTCATTAACCTTTTTCCAGTCAGTGAATTGAAGAGGCAGTTTCTGCTTGGCTTGCTTTGATATGATGTGGTTGAAGCTTAGAAGTCAATTTGCTGTTTAAAGTAATTAAATAAATATGTTAATAGATGGCACAGCCATAAAAACATTTTATATTAATCTGTGGCTTGCTAGGGCACTGTAATTCTTTTGAGGTTACAGTAGTAGTTCATAATAGTAGTTGAAGTTACATAGCCCAGTGGCATTTAAATGGACCAGCAATTAAATTGGCCTAGAAATGGTTAAAAATGTATGTGGGGTTTGGAGAACTGTTTTGAAAGATGATAATGTTTCCTCAATCTAGTGCTGTGATTAAGAATGCGTGGAGTTGTATTTGAACTCCTCTGCATGTCTCCATTGTGTGGTGCTTAATTTACCTTTAACGTACAGACTTTTAAATGGCCCTAAGTCTTTAACATTGCAGACTTTCAGAAAAAACTGCATATTTTCTGTTCTATGCAACATAGAAATATGAACTAAAAAGAACCTGAAAGACAAAATTTTCTACATATACACAAAAGAGCAATTTTTACAAACAAAAATTAACTGTGATTATTTTGTCATGAGATGCAAACTGTAATCTTTATTATGTTATGAAATTCACGAGGACTTACCTGTAGTTATTTTTTCAACCTTGAGACTTGGTGATATTGTAAATATAATCACACTATATACAATAATATTTTGTTCAGGCTGTACATGAGTTTGAACTGCGTCACTTCACAGTTTACAATACACTCTGATGTGCGTGGCACTTCTCGAAACAGTCCACCTCACACAGAGCGACACCACCCTTTTTACAATAGAAGAGCATGCTCCTGCTTTTCTTATTTAGAGAAACACACGTCTTTGTTTCCCTTTGGTTGGCCAGTGTTGTGAATGTTTCACCTCCAGTCGACTCAGTTGGGCCCCAGATGCACTTTGCCTCCCCAAGAAACACCACTGACCATGATATTCACCTTGTGCGATTGAAGAATCATCTTGGGGGAGGGGGGTTTCCAGCTGAATCAAATAAATTATGTTGATTAACAAAGCGACACTCTCACCTTTTAGTAATACTCGCAAAAGAGTAATGAAAAGTAATTATAATACTAGTCTAAAAGAGTGCCAGTCCGACACTGATACTGAAAGTCACAGTGACATAGATGCCTTTTACTCACAAAGTAATATTGGCTCAGTGGGTTTATACATCTCCCGAGACCCAAAATAAAATGATATATATGGAAATATATGACAGTCTGACACTGACTTTGTAACTCATAAAGAAATATTAGACAATACATCACACTTCTTTGAAAGCTCTAGAACAGCCGTGTCAAACATGCGGCCCCAATAACCACAAAGTGTGGCCCTTCAACTTCTAGAGCTAATTGATATTAAAATTTTAGTAGAAATATTTTTTGAAAAGACAATTTTCCAACACACCAGAAGAAAAGAGGTCTCACGCAGACATAAATTAGCAGGCTGCAGGAAAAGTGATTCTGAGAATTGCAGAAGGGTTTGTCCAACTAATGGTTTATAAAGTTCGTGAAGGACAAACTATTGTATTTCAGAAGGTTAATGCACTAAAAGCTGCACAGTCTCACCACCACAAGTATTTCCAAGAATCCCTTTTGGAGGCATAGTAAGAATGCAAGGAGGATGGTAACTGACAGACAAGTGCAAGGGATTTCTAC